TTTTTTTAGCTTCAATTTCAGTTTTAATATAAAAATGGCAATTTGAAACGGCTGAGCTAGTTAGCAGGCAAGATTGAAGAGAGCAGTCTGGCATGCGGCTAAAGGGCTCAACGATTGAAGGTATACACAAGGATCAAAGGTGGCCTCTGTGGTTAACCTGCACAATATAATAGCAAAATAAAGACAACAGCAGCCACATTCTGCTTATGAAAGTGAAAAGCCGAGGCGACGAGTGAATCTAGTTCAGAATACAGTGGCGGAAAGTTAGGCTGTAAGCGCACTCATGCAAGCAGTTAGGCGTCGTCGTAGCAGCGATCGACGCGCGTTGGAAGATTGCAGTGGCAAAAGAAGCGAGAAATCGTACTGTAGCCCTGCGTGCGTGGATATGGTGCTATAACTCATACTGGGCTGGCCTATCAGCGTCTATTATTGGAAGCATGGTTGTGAGATCACATTGTATGATTTATTGGGTGCAAAGAGCACAAACAATTAGAGAGCATATAATTTAAAGCCGTATGAATTATTTTCGACGCGAACCTGAAATTAAAGTGCAAAGAGCACAAACAATTAGAGAGCATATAATTTAAAGCTGTATGAATTATTTTCGATGCGAACCTGAAATTAAATTTAGTATGAATTCAAGAATCCCACAAACGTCTTGAAGAAGAGAAGCCAAGACGATTCAGATTCAACCGACACCCATCGTATCTCGATAAGAAAAAGATATAAAAAAGCTCCCGTAAGAAGGTAATAGAAGAGGTAATATAAGGTAATAATCAGGTCAAAACCGTATTTCAGTAAGCAAGGACAAGTGAAGTCCATCAGTTTCAAGAGAAAATATTCCTCATCTCTCACGTGAAGACGTTCATCTTTATAAAATTACGTTGTCTAGTACGGATGGGGCTCGTGCTGCATTCCATGCAAGAGCACAAGTATCGCTGTCCACGTATTTCCGTGTCAGTAAACTTGTAAAGTAAGAGTCGGACACAGCGTCTGCGGCACTTTGCGGTCACATATTAAAGAAGATTGAGAACGCTAAGGTAAAGTAGTACAGCAATGCAGCCCCGTCCTTGCCTACACATGGTGTCGCCCACCCCTAGAGTATTGGGTCCGCTTACAGCCTTACACCATCAGGAGGAGAGAGGACCGACATAGTTTCGTAAATGAGCTCCCAAAACAACGATAAGTCATCTGCTAATGGACTTAGTCATAAGTAAGCAGTAGTAATAAATCATCTGCTAATGGACCAAAGCACGACGCTTCATTAAATGAGGAGCTGCTTGCGTTTACCGGAGTGTCACCCATTACGTTACAAGAATGACATTTACAAATTAGAGGTGTTGAGACATCACTTTTACTGCATCAGCTGGCAATACAAGCACACCATTAACGTTCACTTTGTCGTATCACAATTGACCCTACCCTTAACTATGCAAAACTGAGAATTTCAACGTGACTTACGAAATTGTGGAAAATATAAGAACACTTTTTGGTGAATACATCAGTTTTCCTAGCAGATTAAAAAAAGTGGACATGTCCAAAATTACATTCTAGTTGATGCAAAGCGCTAAATTTAATACCGGTATCATACGAAAAACGATAGGGCCTGGAAGTAATCTTATCAAAAATTCAACTGAAAAACTACAATATTGATCCATTCTAGCGGTCTTTTTATGGCAATAGGATCGTTTTTCAGCAGTCAGGTCCTGATCCCTCCCGGAAGAGTGAAAGCTCACGTTGCGAGGTTCTTCGTAACATGCAATGACCACCAACAACTATAGGCTGGAACTAGACTGTAGCAGTCAACCGCACCGCATCGGGCGTGTGGTGCTTGCAACAACACTTGTCCGCAGTTGACTGATGCTGTATAGACAAGTATGGGAAATAAACGCGTGAATAATGTGAAGATAGAGATCATGACTTTTATATAATTTATTAAAAAATATTGAGCTTGATTTCATTCAACAGCATCAATAAGGTACAAGCATCCAGAACATTTTTGCAGATAGTTGCCTTAAAGATTACAGTTCAAATTTGGGTAAAACAAAAACTATTCAACTCAAATAAAAAGATAATAACAGATTCATTAAATTGTCACCTATGACTCTCTCTCCATTATATTTCATGTCCTTGGTGCATTACATTAACAACATTACTGATTGCATATCACTATCTTTGACTTTAAGGTAGGTAGTTTGCAAATTTCGACAGAGAACTTTATAAAAAATAAAATTTATAGTCTCACTAACTAAAGTGCTTAATACTTAGCTTAAAATTCATCTAACATTGGGCTGATGTATATGGCTAGATACGATCAGATTTGAATGTAATATTAAACTTGTTAGTGTGACAGCAAGCTGCTGGCTTGTTGCCAAGATGGCAGGATGAAACTTTGCCACTTCACTGATACAGATGAGCTCATTTCCATTAAATATAATACACCCAGAGATGATTATCTCACTGTAGTGGGTATTAGCATCAATACCTCAAAATTCATATCTATCTACAGTACAGAGATTTCAACCCACAATCTTATTCAATAGCAATTTACTCTAGAGATTCAGAATTTATCCTTGAGACAAGTAGTGCATCTGCCCATGAGGAAGAACACATTGTTTACAGGTTTTGCTAATCTTGAAATTCATCTTCAAGTGTCAAGTCAATTTTTGGCTCATTACCAGCTTTGCATGGAGGAGTGTTGTCCCATGAGCAAAAAAATTGTACCATCAATGAGTGCCACAGAAATAACAATATGTAGGTCTAAATCCCTCACCCTCAAAAAGGAACATCTTAGAAGTGGGATTAAGTAGGACAATGATAGTTAGATTCAAAAATATGTTACCTTTTTATGAGCAATATAATATCACATGGGGCAATCTAAGTGAAGCAAAGCCAACAAACATGCACTGGCTAATTGAATTTCTTTTTAGGATTTATATATTAAAACAGCCAACAGCACCTTCCTAGCCATGGCTATGACTGGGAAAAAGGATTACTCAAGTATTACAGCTCCAAAGTCACACAATATAAGTAAATTAGAAATCTAAAGGCTCAGTCAAACTGTTTTATTAACACCTAGTTACAAGATAATTCATGTAGCAGTATTTTTGGGCCACAACATTTTTTTGGCAAATGAGAGATTTTTTTTTAAACAGTTCACTTATAACTTCCTAATCTAGTTAAAAATATTATTCTGAGTATGTATGATAATGCTGGTATCCATGATACTTTACTGGTCTACTGATGGGACTCAAAATCAAAATCTAAAAAAGTTTCCACTTTGCCACTGGGCAGGATTGAGCTTTTCCTACTTAATACTGAAATCTCAGGGTTGTAAAGTTACATATTTACAATGAAATTTGAATCTTTCAGCCTGGTTGTGCAGTGTGCACCTATGTTACCAGTAATATTGGAGGTAGTTTACATTTGTTTCCAACAATATTAGAACCTCGTGGCTCCAAAATTAGTGGGAACGCTCTTGTCATGGCCTGAGAGGTAAATAAATAGAATCCATGCCAGCCACTAGGTGGGTCAAAAATGTTAGCTTGTTAGAAAATCCCTATTAATATTTTGGGAAATAAATATTTTCCACATCCAGCTGACCCAGCTGTTGGTGATTGAATTTAATTTAAAACATATACGGTACCGTACTACATATTCAACTAATTCCACAATAAAAAACATCCGTCATATGCAAAAAATTTCTTAGAAAATTATTAGTTTATAAAGTATGATAACAGGCGTCAGGCAGCCAGGCAGGAAAGGCAAAATTATACAAAAACCTCCAGTCCTCCACATTTTATAGTGCAACCTTGGTCCTTGGAAAAATTCATTAATAGAAACATAAATTTGTTAAAGATTTTTAAAATCTTAATATATATTATCAATATTTCAATCAGGCAGCAGTATAGCAATCAATATATTAAATGTTTTAATTTAATATCACTAATTTCTAAATAGTAAATACTTGCCATAGAAAATATTTTTTGAAGAGGAATCATGAAATTGAGCTCCAGGTTCCCACCTGTCCATATCAAAATTAACGAGACTAGCTAATCTTCCATTGAGTCCTCATGAGTAATTCATTTTGCTTTTTTACACCTTAGTTAACTAATCTTTACTACTGTAAAAAAATGTGAGATAGGTATAGACAGTATATAATAATTATACCATACAAAAAGTGAGATTGACTGGAGAGGCCTGAGATGAACCATGAACATATATTAAATTAACGATTAAATACAGATACTTTGATTAGAATTCCAAAAACAAATAGGCCTACTTAAATTTTTTGCATTACCAACAGAAATTTAGAAGTATATTTTCAAATTTTTTGTACTCAGTTAAATAAAAAAATTCAAAAGGAATAAAAGGATCAAAAAATTAAATAAAACCAATCTATTTGAAGGTTAATCAAAAATTCAAAATCAAATGTACTACAGAGTACAGAGTCAGTACTGACTACTACTGTTCTGTAATGTAGAAGTGGCAGTGGCACCACTGTGCCAGTGCCAGTGGGCACTGGGCAAATCCAATGTCTCATTTACACCCTTACACTGTAGAACTATGATCATATAACTGGCGTAAAGATCAATTTGAATTAGGCCATTATTTTCATAACAAAAGCATTAGATATTCATTTCTGCCAAGTTGTTAAAAATTCAAGCAACCAATTACTTTTTTCTGTGAAAAATCATTCGGAGGGTTAACTGCATCGCGCGGACAGAACACGATTGGATCATCAGCTGATCCGGCAGATACAAGCACAAACGACAATTTCAATAGTTCTATTAATTAAAAAACTGTTTAAATAAAAGAAATTGCGGTTGTTTTATATAATATATTAAAGTATTAGTTGTTTATATGGAACTTTGAGAAATTTTTCCGATAGTTATCTTGGTAATAAACAATTGATGGCTTTTCAGACTTGCAGATTTCAAAGCAGAAAGAGCCGGCAAGTTTATCTTGGGTCAATTTTGTGCTGAATGAAATAAACTTACCTCTGTACATCTGAACATTTTTGGCTCAGAAATCGCTGACGACATATAAAGTGATTGTATTAAAGTAGAATAAAAGTTAAGATTTGTCATCTTTGGACTTTTCGACGCTGAATCCTGGAGGATCCTTAGGGCAATGACTTTTAGAACACGCGCCATGACAGGATCACTGGAGGCAGTGTAGGCAACACACTCGCTCAGCACGGCTGTTCACGCTCTACTGTTGATGTTTGGGATGAACCTCCAGGCTCCAGTAACGACCCAAGAAGACTGGAGGCATTAGTTGAAACATGTTTGGGAATTATGTATTACTTATCATATTTTCTGATGGCCAATGATCATAGGAAGTAAATTCCGACATTTTGTTGCTGTATTTAGGATGCGTCTCATTAGAACATTTTGTTTCTCAAACTAGCGTCATCGTGTCGAATTTCGATAATGTCATTTATCCGAAAAATTCATAGCGTTTGCTTGTACACATTGAAGCTTTTCGTTGGACTTCGTCCTAAACTTTTTTGATTCTATTATATTTCGAAATATAGGTTTGAAACGCGTTCGAGAACAGACTAGATAAAGCTATGGAAAAATATAGGTTCAGATTTGAAATACCTAGCTCCTTATCGAACCCGGTGGAAGTCTAGTAGCTACTTCAAACTATCGTCAGTCATGAAAAGATCCGTCAAGTGACACGATTTTAGATCTTCTGTGAACAAGGCACGAAAAGGAAAAGAACCGGCGACAGGCCACATCAGGCCTAGGCTTCAGCGCAGAGATCACTGTGTTATGTTCTGAATGAAATTAACTATAACAAATTCTGTCACTTAATTACGTATAACCGTCACTACATTTTTCTCATGCTTCGTACGTTCGCATAAACGTTCATTTAACTGATAGTGTGCACATCCCCACACATTTTTTGTTTGAATCATTTGGATTTTACCAGTATAAGCTGCGATTCAGGCAAACGTCGGAGAAAAATATACAAAATAAATTCCTTCAAGGGAGTATTTTCGAGTTAAAAATAACTATAATCGGAAGAATTTTCCTGTCAGTCATATTTGTTCAAGTAGAGAAAACATGCGCATTATTTTACCATAAACACTTTTGGAAGCGTCGGAAGAATAAAATATTACGCGATGGTGCCAGACACATTTACGTGAAATTTAGGCATCTACTTCGTAATCCACATCGTACTCGAGAACGCTTACCCTGAAAATTTCATCGCTTTGACAGGCAGCCGAGGCGGTTAAGTAGACCATTGTTCGCTGCTAAGCTGATGCGCCACCTTCTACGCTAACGAACATCCTCTCAAATGACCCCAAGGAAAGTTCGCGACCGCGCCGACTTGTCTATGCCCATTTCGGCGAAACTTGTACCACTGCACCGTAGTGGCCGTGCCGATGTAATAAGTAAATGATCCTACTATACAAGCCAACGCTTTCATACCTGCCAAATTCATGCTTTTTAGGGCGTCAAAGATGCGTGGCTAAAAGAATAAACTTTATTAGATGGTCCAACATATCGCATTAACACAATGGAATGGCAACACATGTAACCTAAAATCACAGGGTTTCTTTTCTCCTAACTTACCGACATTGTACGTATTAGAAAAATTAAAAACTGACAATATTTATTTTCCATAACGACTAACAAGCAATTGCGAGATTTACACGAAAAAATACATATAGGGATGTGATTTCGAGAACTACGAATGCAGTTTTTTGACATCTCCCTTACAAAACGAAGTCAATCTTCTCTCAGAATCACAGCCGTTTAAATCTCATGACCTCAGATTCGTCCGACAAATCTGACACTTTAGATGTAAAATTTACACAGTGCAAACACCACCTCGAGTTTTCGTTCGGAAGCATCTCGCTATCATTTAAAACGTCTACTTTTTTCAGTTATATCTCTTTTAAAAATTTAAACTTTCATCTTTTCTTTGAAAATTCACTGGATAACATTTATTAAATTTGAAACTTTCATAAATAACTTGCATTAATGTGAATTGTTAAAAAACATGCCGACAACGCCTGAATTAACAGTCAATGCACAATAGAAGTCAAGGTGACCTAGATATGCACGAGCGAGATGATTATAGATATAATCTAATCAAGCTGTCCTCAGGCTGAATATACTTTAAAGATAGGCTGTGCGTTAAAATGACAGCAACCGAGCCCACTGAGTTAACACATTTATGGCGCTCTAAAAACTTCTTTTGCCTGTGAAGCTCAAATGGGGAGTGGTTATGAACATGATCATGACACTTGGGCGAACGCTTGGTCATTTAACGACTAATATCTCCGTTCCATCCCAAAACGATGTGAGTATAGCCCGATGCGAAGAAACCAAGTACCGCGAAGCCCTTGGTTTGAGAAAGGAGATTTATGTCATCCCGTGAGGGGTGGTAAAGTTATGTCAGTGCGTCACGTCAGTGCTCGAGTCAGTGTTGATGAGCCCAGGTAAGCACGAAGATCAATGTTTCTGAAACGACATTATGTTCGCGGAAGTTATTTGATCCTGTTGATGACCCTGTCAGTGATGGCTATGAGTGCAAGCTTCTCCTGGGAAGGCGCCAGTTGCTGCAGCATGGAAATGGCGTGTAGGCAGTGTTGGGTTGCCAGGAGTTTGGTTTGCTGGAGGCCGTCGCTGCGGTGCACGCATTCCATGGCAAACTCCACGTCACCAGGCTCGCTGAACCGGCGCAAGATCATCGGGATCAGCTCGGGGAACTGGCAACAAGAGGTAACATTAAACATTTCCCCCGAGTTTGTACCACGAGGATACGGTTTTTATGAACGAAAATCAAAAGCAAAGTATAACGGGCATGAACACAAGAATTTCTAACGATGTCGAATGAAAAGATAAGTTCGAATATATTTCGGCAATAGTTAATTTGCAAATAAATTAAACGCTTCGTTACTGTTATGGCGTCAGAGGAACAGACCAAAATTTTAGAACATCAAAACAAATTGATCGTAAGAATTAAATTAAGGTTCTTGACCTTTTCACAAGCGAACAAGACGGGCGCGGTGGCCATGCCGAGTCTGAGGTCGACGGCCGTGGGTTTGCCGACGACGTTCGAAGAGGCCGCGAAGTCCAAGAAGTCGTCCACCAATTGGAAGGCAATCCCCACGTTACGGCCATATTGGTAGCACATTTGCTGCACCATTTTATCCGCGCCACCCAGGATAGCAACCTGAGAAAAGAGGTCGCTTTGTCATTTCATTAAGGCAAATTTACCATGAACTAAATTTCTGCAAAAGTTTATCCCTGTCGGCCAGGATTGCAGCCTTCACAATCATAAGTTAACAACAATATACACTTCCTTTCAATGCAGTTTCGTCTCACCGAGGAAACTCCACAGCAGCGACTACCCGTGCCATCAATATCAATGAAAAAGTTCATTCAACGATTCATACATTCTATGCTGCAACTTCGTTTTCCATCATACACATAATGCACTATACACTCGATACTGAGGCAGAGTGTTGCAGCAGCAATACGGACGCTGCTACTCGTGGCAAATATGACCCAAGTAAACTACCATACACTAACCGCTTGACAGCTGTTGGCTATAAGAGAAGCTGTCTTCTTGAAGCTCTTGTCCAGATAGTGCGAGAAACGCTCGTCTTCTTTTTCCTTAGAACCCAACTGCATAAACTCGCCCTGCACGAGGTCTGTCAAAACCTGCACATTAAAAGCAATGGTCAGTAATAGCAGACGGACGAGGCAGAAAACGCCAACTCGAGTCAGATGATCAGCACACACACTTGAACGAAGTCTGACGTGCTATAAAAAAACGTCCCAAATAGACTTTTGGTGGCCATAATGGAAGCCCACGGAATCAAAGACAGGTGCCGAGATGTTTTCAGTATATTCCGTAGTAACAACTTGCCCCAAGATGTTCAGAGCCACGTGGAACTTTCTTCAGATGAATACGAAGGTCTTTGCTCACAATGGCGATGCAGCAGCCAGAGAGTTCTTTCGGTGTGACTTAGGCAGGTTATACAAGTGGTCGACTGAGTGGCAGCTGCGCTTCCACCTCGAAAATGTTGTGATCTACGACTTCGAACCCAAGCAACGGACCCAGTAGAGGGTGCGGACGAGACAGAAACGCTCTAGACCAATGAGTACCTATATCAAGCTGAAGAAGGAGAGTAAATCATTGAAAGACCAAACAGTTCTGGCTGACAAAGACCTAAATTCAAGTTCATGTAGGTGATGTAGCGCAAAGCAGCTGAAAGGCAAGTAGGATCTTTGGTGGCCGCTGTAGCACATTCGACATACCTACTCAATCCAGAAACGTTTGTTTAGCGGTTCAAGTCACTTGTTCAGCAGTTGGTCACTTGCCCTGTGAAGGACAGTTGGTTCGGCAGCCGCGACTCAAAACCTTGTGCACCGACCAATAGAACATCCAGAAAAGTGCAAATAACTGATCGCCGGTTTTGAACACATGCTCAATTAGTAGTAGCGTCTGTTGGCCTTGGAGCATTGCAGACAGAGAGGATACAATCGATATCTTCAAGTGAAAACGGCAAAGACACTGGAGCAACAGACTTAAGCACGCCAAAGAACGAAAAAAAAGAAGCGTAAAGTTAAGTATCTTTCCTCATAGGGTTATGACCACAAGAATATTCTTCAAGAAAACGAGAGAATTGTCAACTTGGCAAACGCCTTCAAATCAGGCTTAACAAATTCTGGGCGAACCGGCTTCGCCAGACTTTATCATAACACACGAATAAAAAAACATTTTGCAAGACTAGGGGGAGGAAGGCACTACTGACCTGAGAGAGCACGACCGTCACCTCAGGATTGTCGAGTTTGCCAAGCATCATCAGCGCAACGGAAAGCATATAGTTCCCCGCCATCACCGACTGATGATAAACATACACATTAAAAAACACAGAAAAGTGTTATAATTACTATTATAGTTAAGCAAAGCACTGATCTTGAATTTATACATCTACATGATACAGAGAAGAATTCAAAACATTATAATTTTTTCGTAACTAATGATATCTGTCTAAAGAATAGGACACTTAATCAAACATTCTTCATACTTCATCAATTAATCACGTTAAAGTAATAGTTTTTAAAAACTTTGAACTTCCATGAAGAAATAATAAAGGTAATAATTGATCTATGCTCGGAACATCAACCATCAAATATGACTGGAAACGTCTCATACGGATCATCACAGGTAACATCCAAGCATTGCAGTACAGACTTGAAAGTTATTGTTTGGTCATTACACTTGCATCACATGGTTCACCTTGTGCTGCCCATATCGCTGCGTGGCAGAAGGCTTTCAGTCATGTAACTCTTGTCATTACCTTGCGCTGCCCATATCGCTGCGTGGCAGAGACCTTGCAGTCATGTAACTCTTGTCATTACCTTGTGCTGCCCATATCGCTGCGTGGCAGAGACCTTGCAGTCATGTTACTCTTGTCATTACCTTGCGCTGCCCATATCGCTGCGTGGCCGAGGGCTTGCCACGCCTGGTGTCCGCCATGTCCAGGACGTCGTCGTGCAGCAGCGACGCTGTGTGTATCATCTCCGTCACCTTAGCGATCTCCAGTTGACTGCTCAGCAGCCTGAACAACGTAAGCAAAGCATAACCTTCAAGCATAACACATAGGTAGTGAAATGAACCATTTTTGTCTACCATTAGGTTTATTTAGGATTTTAACCGAGCTTGTAATTAAAAAATATTAAGTTATTGAACCATTCAAAATTTAGTAGCTTGTTACTTTGTTGCAATATACAAAATTTCTGTCTGTATGAAGACTTTATTATGAAATTAATGTTTTCTGTGTAAAGTTTTGCTTATTAAGATAAACATTATAAAAATTTCATGCCAGCAATATTTTTCAATGCCTTTACTTGGCAACTGGAGTTTAAAACTTAGGAGTACATCAGGTTAATTAGGAGTAGAACAAGTCTCGAGAAGTTTCTAATTAGGCTAACATGATGAAATCAATTGAAATTGCCTCTCAACAATTTTAAGAATCAAGGGTTCTGTGTGAAGTCTTCAATGAAGAATTTTTTTTTATAATGCACAATCATATAGTGCTAAGAACTGAGACCCCCAGAATGCAGTACCTGTGATGTTTACAGACGTGTTCATTGACTGCACGAGCCGTGAGAACCGTGATCACAGGACGCATCACTTTGCCTTGACCATCCACATAATAGCATGAAATCTCTTCCAGCTCCTCACTTGTACCACTCAGTGCCTGCACACAAGAGCCTAGGAGACTACACACATATACATTTTCAGGTATGAAAAAAAATATGAATGGAAAGATACAAAATTGAAAAATTTTTGATGAGAAATGCCACAGAATATCATAGTTGTCCGAAATTTTGAAAAGTGTAAATATAGTTTCAGGAGATGGGTTTTGGTAAACTTATACAATCATCATTAAATAAAAAATAAACAAATAACAATAAATTAACTGTAATAAAACAATAAGACAATGTTACAAAAACCCTCTAGTCATAATTGCTGTATTGCTTTTGTTGATTATTTGCATAAAACAATCAAATTTTTTTCAATGGAGTTTTGCATGACATGGAGATATTGTTAAAATTCAAGATAGGCTAAGTGATTTCCTATGATAATGATTGCACCTTCATTTTATGCATCAAATTTCAAATACATGGATATAAAGTGCATATGATGAAATCAAATTACAACAATAAAAATTGCATCAATTAAAATTCCCTGAAAGCAAAGTAAGTCAGTTTTGAGTTACCCAAGTAAATGTCCAAATTATGAAAAAAAAAAATCTTTGTATGAATGTTTGGGACAACATCAGGACAGAAAGCACACCTTTTTGATGTCAATGAAAAGGTTGGTGAGGTCAGGCAAAGCAAGGGTGTAGGGGCTGGAAGAAGGTAGGAGTTGGCCTTCACCCCCTTCAGGAAGAGTAGCAGTGGATGAATGTCGGCACGGCACTTGCAAGCACAAAATGGCCCCATTTACCGAACTGCCTCTCTGGCAGCTTCCATTGCAACCAGGCTTTAAGAAAATTAATTTTTGAAAAAAAGCTAAATTTCAGAAAAGCTGGTTACTGTATATGACATTGCATAATTGGTTATACTGTAAAACAGGGTGACTTGACCACTGACAGGGCCACTTGGAAAATATTTAGCACTTACCTTCTTATGATACAAATATTCGCATACCGTCAACCGGGGCTACTCGCGACAGTTTTGAGCGTTTTTTTGTTAATGACTTAATAACTTCTATCGATGAAACATTTCATAAACAAGTTTAGGCTCATTTTATAGCTCTTTGCGAGGGCTATCGAATGGCATCATCAAAAAAATTCCATATGCTATTCATAAGGTGCCAGAAATTGCAGAAAAACAATAATCAGAATTTACCTATAAAATAATGATTATTACTGACAATTCTTTAATAAATTCTGCCTAATCTTCCAGATTTGGCCAGGCACTAGTATGGAATATATCTACTTGGCGAGCCGCGACTGAATTTTTCGAGCCGTGGTTTTATGGATTTGCCAGCCGTGATTCCATTTCTACGAGCCGTGATTCTATTTCACCGAGCCGTGAATTCCATATCTCGGCCATGAAAAGCCATTTACGAGGTGCGAATGCGAATTTATTTACAAAGTTTATGCACGTGTTACCCCAAATCTCTAATTTTACCCTTAAACAGTCAAACGGCAACAATAAAATTTGTCTCTACTGTAAGTTCAGCACGTGTTAATATACAGTCTGACCGCTTTGACATGACCGCAACTATGCGCGATCTTCAACAAACGTTTTGTTTATTTGTTTACATTACAATGTTTATGTTTTTTCTGCAAGATATTTTTGGCGGAAACAGTAAAGCAATGCGGATTGCGGAAGTTGAAAATTTTATGAAATGACATGTTTGCGAAGTGCAAACCGCGATTTTTTAATCAAACAAAAATTTATGACATTCGAGCCGCGAGATTTCATACCTACTGAAATTATATGATATTAGAGCCGCGATATTCCAGACAAAAATAGGACTTTTCCAGACTAGGCCAGGCAAATGACAATTTTTGTGAATTTTCCAATCTGAGCTATATAGAGGCTGGATTGAAATTTTCCTACTTATGATTTATGAATGAAACCTTGTTCCTTCCAAGTGACAAATTTTTTATACATTTGTAATCTTGTAGTCAAACAATGCATTTTGTTCAACAATTAGATAGGAGATAATTGATCTAGCAGGAATCTTGGAGCTCCCAAAATGGTGGGAAAGCTCAAGGCAGGTAGGCTATTCTGCTCCACCTTGAAGCAGAATAGCCATAATAACATCATAAATCTTGGAGCCTCCAAGATTTATGATGCAGTAATGATGGATAATGCCAGATTACCTGTAGCCATGATACTTACTGGTCTATTTAGGAAGGTCAACAACTAAGTTTCTTGTATCTCTAAAGACAAATTGACCACTATTACAGAAATCAAAATCATGAGAATTCAAAGTAAATTGCTCGTGGCCCGCCCTGTAATCAACTGAAAGAAACAGATGCTTTGTCTCAGCAAAACAACAGGCCCGCCCAAGAGCGATTGATAGGCCTACTTTGGTGCAGTGGTGCTTGTAAGAAAACGAGAACCTTTCATTAATTAGATCGATTGTGAACACTGAACAACAAATGAGCCTTAATACCGTCATTACCGTGTGCGAAAAAATTATTTCTACACATAGCCACCAAGCTTCTGACTTTCGGAGCAGAACGCGGATGAATCTCAATCTCGAGCATGAACTTGTCCGTCAGGTCAGAATAATTAGGAATTGAATTCGGTACTTTTTAGAGCAACCTGCACTACTTTATTAATAAGCGTATCATTCTAAATGAATATTCAATCTTCATTCGAAGATAAAAATCTTCAGAATTTTTTTTTACAATGATTCTGCGCTGGGCTTTTGATTCACTCTGTCTCTACTGACAACATAGAACATTTCCATAAGTAACAGAAGACTAATTTACCACATTAATCCATAAAAAAAACCTTGAACTTACCTGTGTACGTATTGGTGTTTTTTTCAGCAATAACTTTCCAAAATTGAATTTATTTGATGCGGAGGAATTGAAAAACTTAGTTGACGTCCTTAAACTTCTAACCACCGACTTTTGGAAGATTTGAGGAGCCATGACGTTCAGTGTCCGCGCCATGATACTTCTTCACTGAAGATTAGCTCGTCACGAAATTCGTACTGAACGGCCGTTTCTGATCAAATGAGATGGCTGTTGAGTAGCCTCGAAGAGAGCTACATTCTTGAACCTAGTTCAAAACAAATGAATTAAAGTTCAATGTCGGTTCATTATGCGCAATTTCAAAAACTAACTCAAGGAGCAATAGAATTGATAAACTTTTTAATCAGACACATTACACGAATCATGGTTTAGAATTCGTCATTTGCATCTAAATTTCATTTTTGTCACTAATTTTGGTGCACTTGTACTCTCTTGATCACATTTTTTTCTTTGCAAAGCATCGGACTAATGATCTGAATTATGTAAATATTGACGGTTCGATACCAAATACAGCCGGTTTTTATTACTTTATTGGTGCGTTCATCAATTATATCGGTCAAGTCTTGAAATACGTATTCTCAGAGCAATTATCAAAATTGCGAGACCTGTCTTTAAGCATGCACTCTTCTTGATAATTCAATGTGGAGGTTTTCCTCGCATCATCGGGTTTCTTCTCTTCCCATTTTCTGGGTTTTTACGATAGGTGGACTTGATTGTGGTCAGCCTTCAAGATGACCGATACGCCTGGGAGCTCAAGTAAACGGTCGTGGCAGGAGAGCCGGGGTATCAGTGTATTCACATCATCGTGATGAAGTAGAGAGAAATTTGGACTCATTAAGCTGGTTGTGTTGCCAGTGTTATTTCCGTAACTGTTTATAGGCGAAGAGGTAACCCATAAGTTTTGAACAATCTGCACCTAAGAGCATGGATTTTTTACAGCGAATGTCGTGCAAATAGCAACTATCCCTTGCCAGTATAAAGAAGCCAACTTGACCGTTCGAAGTATAACCCTATGATCTCGGATACATTTATCTTCATCAATGTTATCAATCATCCATCATGGGATCAAAGAGTCCCGTCAGCCACGAAAGGCATAAAAAAATATCGATGTTTACTTCTGGAATAAGTCCGAATAACATAGGAGCCCACGATAATTTCTGAAGACGAACTTTAGACTCCAACTTGTTTTCGGCAAAGTACGCCATGCGGCAGACTTTTCTCACTAATTACGCAAAAGTGAAAACGAAACCGCATCCCGACTTGTGCATGGATTGAAAAGTCGACAATAAGAATTCTAAATTAGTCATCAACAAAGTCATCTTTTCGGTTCGGTAATCTTTGTTGGAACTAGAAGCAGGAGTTGTCTCAGGCTGCGTAAGCTCTATCAGGCGAAGTTGTGGTAGAACCATGCTAAAATCCACGATTTTGGTCAAAGTCTGTCCACGATGGGCGACTTTGTTTTGTTGTTATATTCAGCGCTGGAAGTTGGAAGACACACATCTAACAACTTTGCTGATTTTAATCAGTATGTTTCATGACAGCATTCGAATAAAATTCCAAGAACATTCAATGAATTCCTGTTTAGCATGCACAGTTCGTTTAAAGTTAAACCAGTCATAATTGGTTTTCGTGCAGGCAATAACTACAGAATCCATAACCGTCAGACAAAACTGAAGATATTCCAATTTAAACATATCTCGATGTCACAAAGAAAATAGCAATTCACTCTCAATTGGCATGATCCACTTAGAAAAACAAAGACTGAACAGCGTAGACTATATTTTTTTTCTTTATTCAGTCGAACATTCCTACGCGATCGTCTCCATCGAAAATTACTGACGGAGGTAATTCTTAGCTTAAGCAGAGGTAAATAATGATCTATTGCGCAGCTGAGGAAATGGGCTTTCTTGAACATATCATAACAAAAAGCACATCAGTCAAATAATAATTCAGGTGAAAATACTAAAAAATGGTGGGAAATTGTTTGCAGCATAAATCTAACTATCAAATTGAAATTATGAGACTAGTTGAGACATTAATAAGAATTGCATTACAAAAAACTGAACAAAACATGGGACCTGTACCACAATGGTTCCAGTGAGTGAAGGATTCATTTCAGACAACACTTCGTTCAACAGTCGTAGTCATGAAAGACGTCCTAAATTTCACAATTTTTAAATAAGATATATTAAATAAAGGTTAACAATGCCATTTGGTGAGAACTGTATCCACTCATGCTGGCTATCGATCTAAATTTTTTAGCGTGATGAATCTTGAAGCTACAAAAGCTCCAATAATGGTAGCCACAGTGAAGAAAAAGGCAAATATATACCAAGTTTCTTCATCAAAAACATCCGTGAATGAAGGAATCTGGTCATAAACTTTATTGACCAACTTGAGTGTGGCTTCATACTTGCGCTGACTAGTTGGATTGGTTGCCATTCCTGATGATGTCAATAATTTCCACACAAGGATAAACCTGCACAACAATGTGACAGCACAAAATTTCCTCCTGGTAGTGTAAGTTTAGAGTTTTGTACAATTTCAAGAAATAATTACAATGCCTGTATATAACTACAATTCCTGTAGATTACTTCCACTTCTTTTTTGCACCCCCAACAGCTGCTGCTTTCTCAGCCTTGGTGAGGACCACAGCAACTTCCTGCTTCTTAGGAGCCTTGGCGCTCACCATATGGTTGAAATTGGTTAAAAACTCTAGTGTGGTGAGGTTTTCTGTTTTGAAAAGCACTTCACTCCCATCAACTGCAAATATAAAATTCAGAAAATGAAGAGCTTGCACATATTTGGTTACAATAAAATCATTTAAATTAATTCATGGGAATTGAAATCACAATAAATGAGCATTTAAAGTTGAATGTCAAAATTACCCTTAACTTTTCACTCTAGCAAGAAAGTGTAATGATAAAAAACTGAATTTCTTTGTATAATAAATTGAAGGTGACACACGACAACATTTAATCTCTCCAGAATTTTTTTTTATTTTTTCCCCAATCATATTTATATTCTTGACACATTGTCACATTTGGAAAAAAATTATTCAGATGCATATTATACATAAAGAAGATGTTTCCAAGAAGTTTAGAGGACATATTCAACATAAAGACTAAAGTTGTCACTTACTGAGCTGGACATGCACTGATGGTAAGCTGCGGTCACACAAAATGTTGGTTCTCAGGGCACACTTTGGGTTGGTGATTCTTCTTTTATGCTGGTTCAAGTATGATAATATTGATCTGCAATATAGAAATAAAAATTAATCAACAGATAACCACAAGATGATGTTTTTCCACAAATCATCTTTTTTTTACCTAACATGGAGTTGAGTTCTGGCAGTGATCGAGGATGCACGTAGTGTTTGCGGGTCCCAACTTTCTCACTTCTTACTATGCCGGTTTGACTTATCTCGCGAATTTTGTACCGAAACGATTTCAGTGAAAGGTTCAATGTTAGTGCAGTTCAATCAAAATTGTGCGAATAGTGAGAAAAACGGCTAGTACAAGTGTTTTATTCCCGACAAATTTTAGTGCGTGAAACGAGGGCAAGTTTTTGAAAACCCTCGGCGACTGCCGGTAACCCGAGAACAATCGCTGCCTTGACTGCGCTCAGGCCTCGCCTTCCTATACCCTCCCCACCCTCTTGGCCCCTACACCTCCCCCTCTCCACCCGCCTCCTCTCCACCCGCCTACGCGTCGATACCTTGATTCCGCCACCACACCTCTGTGTTTCCCTCGCCAGCTGCAGCTCAGCTGTTTTTCCAGCCTTAATTTTCGAGGGAACTTTACTATACTCAACTCAACTCAGTCGTTTTCTCCGTCCTTTTTCTGTATTTTTCTCCGTTCAAGAGATCTAGTTCGTGCATTTAATAATGGCTGGACAGAAAATAAAAAAGATAGTCGAAAAGCCCTCAACCGCCTCTAGAGAAAAGCCATCTACGGCCTCTAGAATAAAAAATAAAACCAAATCAGCCCAGCTAGAGATGGAAGTTTGCAAGACTTATCGAACCCGGTGGAAGTCTAGTAGCTTCTTCAAACTATCGCCAGTCATGAAAAGATCCGGTCAAATGACACGAGTTTAGATCTATGAACAAGGCACGAAATGGAAAAGAATCGGCGACAGGCCACATCAGGCCTACACTTCAGAGCCGACATCACTATGTTATGTTATGTTATGTGGTATTTAATAAGCTTTAGAGTGAGAGATTCATAGTCAAAGCTCATATTTAGTGTTTTTTATTGTTCTTATTTTATTGCAGGTAATATTTTCTGGTATATTATTTGTTAAATAAAGAGACATAATACGTTACAAAAGAAACAACTATATTCTAGGCTACCTATATATATATTATGTCAACAATTAAAATGGGATAGGAATATAAACACAACTACCGGTATGTCTTCCTATGCAATTCAACTGAATAGATACTTTGGTCATTTATGCATAACAGATGAAATTTCATGATAATAAAAGGGAAAGGTCTTTTTTCCATGTCATAAATAAAATTTTGGAGCTACAAGTTTATACAATTTGAAACAATGAAAAAAAAAATCCAAACAGCAGATTTGGTTTTTGAGTCACGAGTCCTATATTCTCAGCTATGTAAGACAATATTCTAACTATGACAATTTATCCAAGTAAAATTTTAAATTTTACCCTTGACATAGTAAAAACAACATATTACTTCGAAAATTTAGAGGCAGAAAAAAAAAATGGTCAGCAAATTCACCATTTCTTTACACGAGGATGGAGCTGGACTCTGAAATGTTTTCTCATGGTAAAAGTTGTAAATTTGCTGGCTATTTTCTTTGTTCTTAAATTCTTACTGGATTATTTTTTTGACCTTACTTTATTTAACTGACCTTATTTTCTTTAAAAAGTGACCTTACTTTGTTTTAAAGCAATTTTGTACTTTTCAAATGCATTTTATATATTGTAAAACATACATTGGAGTTTTTGCCATTTTCAAGTGGTCAGCCAAAACCACAATTACAAGAAGTCAAGAATATCCATCAAGGCAATAAGTAGTTAACATTCAGTCATTGTGGTAGTGTTTCAGTGATCATGTGTGATGTGAGTGCCTTCCTGTTTTGGTTTATATTTCAAAGTTTAAGAGTTTATATTGCATGCAATTATTTGACCAGGATGATTTTACTGTTACAGAGACATCATTACATTAAATTGTTTACTTGCACCTACCTCCTGGTCAACTCACTGGTGAAATTTGTCAAGTGCCATTCACCCTAGGGATGGCAGCCACAATGGCATTAGGTGAGGTGATATTACTAGTACGAATGTTATTGATTTGTTATTATTATTTATTTTCATCTATATTATTATTATTATTATAATCTATATTTACCCATCATTTATCTATCATTTAATGAATGCATCTGCATCATTCATTTATTATTAATTTATCATTCATTCATCAGCCATTATACATTCATTTAGCATTCATTTATCTTTTTTTATTGTAATTTATTTATCATTTATTCTGATTTTATTCCGTTTAATTCTGATTTTGGTGAATTTATTATATACCATTAAAATTCATTCATTTATCAGTCACACCTGTTTCCCCCACCCACCTGCAGGATGCAGTCTACACCTGCAGCATGCAGTCAAAGTCTCAACCAAAATTTTTAATTTTAGTTAGAATAGCCTAGATAGCCTACAAGGCTACAACTAAAATTGCTTTCTAATGGTGCTGAAATCTTTAAAATTGGCTCATAGGAAACCTAGAAATCATTGTTTTTCCACTAAAGTACTGAAAATTAGTTAATTTTTGGGACAAAATTGAATAAAGAAAAAAATTTATAGTTTTTCATTTTTATTTGTACGGCACTCAATTATATACGCAATTTTTCTACATTTTCTTCTCCTTTTAGATGTATAATTTAAATTACACTGGGAAGAAATTTTTTTCTGCACACACCCTTAGGCCACAGCCCACTTATACTTATAGCACTTAAAAATGAACTTGAGAAAGAGTCTAACTAATATGTGTTTAAAAATTACTTTTCAAAGACAACGCTTCTAAAGATGGCAGTGTCTCTGATGTTACTAGGGTAAACACACCATATTCCAACACTGTGGGTAATTCTGACACCCCTCAACTTTTTCCTTTATATTAAGCTTGGTCTTAGTTCCTTCCACGCATGCGTAGATGGTTGAAATAGTGATGTCATACTATTGCGTGCCAGATTTCCACAAAACCCTAGGTCTAGCGGAAAAATGTTAAGATCCGCAGAGCAAAAGTCCAAGTCAACTAGTGAGAAGTCAAAACACGTATGAAAGTTGATAGTTGACCTTGCTTTACTAAATAGTGATAAACTGTTTGTGTAGAAAGAATATTATGGTTTGAGACTTAAATAAATCTGTGAATATATTAGTAATCATTTAAGTATACTTGTATTTGCTGATTTTAAGTGGTAAATAAATTAATAGATGATTGATTTAAGAGATGGTTTTAAAAACATAAAAACTAATTCCGACACGGTGACGGTACAACATACAGCTGTGAGTGACACAGGGTGTCATATTCCGACACAGCTCACACAGGGTGTCGGAATTCAACACAGGGCGTCAGAATTACAAATTACGATTTTGAAGCGCTGTCAGAATTAGTCTCACAATATGCCGCATTTAGTCACACACAGTGTTGGAATTCAGCGATTTTGTAGATTTGAATTCTAAAGGCTTTTAAATAAATATGGCAACATTTGTGACGTTTTATCATTGCTGGCACGCATAGTGGCAAAGCAGAGGGTTTTTTAGACTGTCTCAAGTTCATTTTTGAGTCCTATAAGTAGACCAGTAAAGTATCATGGATACCAGCATTATCATGCTTAAGAAATTGGTTAAAATCTTGAGTAGGGTAAACGCGGTATATTCCGTCACATTAAGGATGCATCGAGAAATGAAAAACTATAAAAAAATTACTGTATGCGTTACTCAAGTTCTGTTTGCTTTATGTGACTCTCAAAACACCGCACTACGCGTCAGCAATGACGAAACGTCACAAAATGTTGCCATATTTATTTAAAAGCCTTTAGAATGCAAACCTACCAAATCCCTATATTCCGTCACTGTGTGTGGCTATATTCGGCACTTGGTGAGGCGTATTCCGTCCGCGCTTCAAATTCTACTGATACGTAATGCCGTCATCCACGTGTTCGAATTCCGTTCGCTGTGTGAGCTGTATTGGAATACAACACGGCTTTAATTAGAACACTAATGAATATTGAACACTACTTAATTACGCTTTTAGTTAACAACTATTAAGCTTTTAATTAAGCAAATTTTAATTTTTGTACACAGCTTGGAATGATCTGTGTGTGTTCAATTCAAGTTGTGACGGAATTAGTTTTCATGTGCCTAAATCCATTTCTCAACTTAACCATCTATTAATTTATTTACCACTTGAAATCAGCAAAAACAAGTATATTTAAAGGATTCCTAATATATTCACAGACGTATTTAAAAGTCTCAAACCATAATATTCTTCCTATACAAACAGTTATTCACTATTTGGTAGAGCAAGGTCAACTGTCAAATTTGAAACATTTTTCGATGATCTCACTGGGTAGCGTGCATTGTCTCTCTTTGGATCTCAATATTTTCCCACTAGATGGCCAAGACCTAGTGTTTTTGCAGTATTTCGACACGCAAATGTATGACGTCACCATTTCAACCATCAATGAACGCATGTAACTAAAACAAAGCTTAATATAAAGGAAAAACTAGAGAAGTGACCGAATTACCTACGATGTCGGAATATACCGCGTTTACCCTATTTCTTGCTAGCCTACATCCTTAAGGAATAAGTTGTTGGAATATGGTGTGTTACTGTGTTTACCCTAATCGTCTAACGTACCATGAATTTAATAAATTTTTTACTTTATCTTAATATATTAAAAAATTATTATTAAAATTTTCCATGTTTTTTCAATTTTTAAAATTTATTAGCCTGTAAATTGATCCAAGCATGCTGCATAGTCTACAACTTTACACAAGTGTGCAAAATTACAGATCAATTGGACAGGTAGGCTATTCTTAGGCTCTGAACCACTCTGACTGGTAGAAGTGTCAAGTGTGTTAAATACCTAGCTACCGGTACAGAACGATTAAAATTTAAAAGATTTGCAGGCTCACAGCAGACAGACAAACAAACAAAAACTTAACAAGAAGCTAGTATGGAATATATCTACTTGGCGAGCCGCGACTGAATTTTTTGAGCCGTGGTTTTTATGGATTTGCCAGCCGTGATTCCATTTCTACGAGCCGTGATTCTATTTCACCGAGCCGTGAATTCCATATCTCGGCCATGAAAAGCCATTTACGAGGTGCGAATTTATTTACAAAGTTTATGCACGTGTTACCCAAATCTCTAATTTTACCCTTAAACAGTCAAACGGCAACAATAAAATTTGTCTCTACTGTAAGTTCAGTACCGACAGTACGTGTTAATATACAGTCTGACCGCTTTGACATGACCGCAACTATGCGCGATCTTCAACAAACGTTTTGTTTATTTGTTTACATTACGATGTTTATGTTTTTTCTGCAAGATATTTTTGGCAGAAACGGTAAAGCAATGCGGATTGCGGTAAAGCAATGCGGATTGCGGAAGTTGAAAATTTTATGAAATGACATGTTTGTGAAGTGCAAACCGCGATTTTTTAATCAAACAAAAATTTATGACATTCAAGCCGCGAGATTTCATACCTACTGAAATTATATGATATTAGAGCCGCGATATTTCAGACAAAAATAGGACTTTTCCAGACTAGACAAGAAGTAAAGTTAAAGAGAAGTGTTGCAAAAAGTCTTTGACGCGATGTCACAGATACTACTATACACAAGTAGATTTGAAAAATAATTTCATCAATATTCACGAATCACGACTCACTACCTAGATACTGGCAAGAATTCGCAATTATCAAAACACAAAGTAAAACAATAAGCTTACCGTATAGTAAAAACTTGTTGCTTTTCTGTGAATGGATCAAACGATACAGTAATTCTGTCGGCGCCACCGTAATTCAGTAACTTGACCTGCTTGCCTAATGCTGATAATAAACCTGCTGATCTTGAAACACTTCCCCAGTTAGTGAAAGGTAAAGCCATACTGATCTATATAAGGCTCAAGTGCAGTAGCAGACGACGATCCTCACTGAGCAGGCGCGGTGATATTTCTGGCAATATGCGAGACTGCGACGGTGCCTCCGTGTTCCGTTTCGTAGGAGTTACAGAGAGGAAACGAATTGTAAATTTTACAAGAACTTCGAGATGAACTGAATTCTACCATCAACCTACCATTGCACTGCTGACACATAATTTTTCTAAATTATTTTCGTCCAAGTAGTCAGGAATGAGGTAAAAAGTATTGCGACAGTTGAGAAGACTAGATTTGCAACATGCAAGGAAGGGACATTCATTGAAGAAAGTTATATAAGTTTGGCCTCAGAAAAATAAACGAGAATAATCATTTTTCTCAATATTATTGAGGAAAATGAATAAACAAAATGCTCCCGAAATTGCATTGCATCGTATATCAATGCACCTACATATCAGCAAAAACTGATAAATATCATAAAATATGCTACGAGTGGAATATTGATTGATGTCTTCATGTATAGTCATATAAATCTTCATATCCTGCATTGTGCTGGCTCAATCCAACTGCATCTCCCCAGATCTGCTGACAGACAAGTGTGTACCGAATTGACACTCCTCCGAACTCGCGAACGGACTCAAACGTAAAACCTAACATTTCGCTCAACCGAACCACTCATAAGTCTTTCAAAACTGAAGGGATCTGCTCGAAATTTGGAATATTAGTTAGTATTATCGCTGTACGTCGTCAATTCTGTTCTACAGGTAACTCGTTCGCTTAATAAATACAATCGCAGGCGAGGTAAGTGCCAATCTGAATATTGAAGATTAAAATTAGTTTAGATTATGATACAAATGCATGCGGATGTATAGCTTTTGATTTTTTGTTCAATAGGCACGTGTCGGGTGTTGCTACTAAATAACCTAGAGTTATTTAGTGCACTGCATCACAACATATATGTAACGAGAAAACGACCATTGGTGGACTGGGGAGACAATAGATGCTATTTATAACGAATTATGTCTTGATGGCTATGAGGTCGGAAAAATGCGCTTTATTCAAATTTCTAAACTTCTATTAGATTATTGCTGGAACTCGCGCCGAATTTCGTCATATTAATTAACTAAATGTAGCGTTTTTAGCGCATTTTCTCATTTATGGAAAAAAGGCGCTATTGTGCTCGTCATGTCCGACCGTGACTTCACGTCACGGACGGACGAGAAAATGCGCTCTATATCACGCACTGCAGTGAGTACCGAGTTATATTTTTTTCTGTCTGATCTCGGACTGTTTCCTAACACAGGGACAGGAATAATTACAAATTTATATTCAAATTCAGTCATCATTTCCACAAGTCTTAATCCAAACGTGAAAGATGAGCAGCATATGTGCTTCAATTAAAAAACAATTAATTATTTGTCTTTTCGAAGCAGATAGTATGCTGAATCTAGTAGACGGCTGAGGAGTAGGAATGCCGCATAGTGACAATAGTTTAGTTAATGATACAAATACAGCCAGATGTACAGCTTTTGGTTTTAGTGTTCAGTATTTACATGTCTGACGCGATTCATTGCTATTCCTTGAAACACTAACCGAAACCAGACGGTTATCAGCTAGTTGCTTAAAATAAGTATTATTGCAGTCTTGTACCGACTGAAATCGGGTGGGTTCTAGAAATGATGTACTTTGTATACGATAGCGGTAAAAAATCTCTGTAGTCATTTCGGAAAATTCAATGTTTTCAAATTTGACATCTTCATCTGGTAATTGCTATCGCTCGTGCCTAATTTTGGCTCTCAGTTTATATGGCATTTACATTTTAATTGAATGCTCCATATTTTATGTGTCTGATCTCAAATTGTTTTCTACTACAGAAATACTATTTCTACAGAAATACTATTTCTACAGAAATACTATTCTAATACAGAAATAAATTTACTATTTATATTTAAAATTCGGACAATTACATCCATATGACTGAGTCAAATTACAACGTAATAGATGACCTACAGACATTGATATATATCAGCAAGCTTATGAGACAATATAGGCCTCCTTGCAATTTATGGGGAGACTAAAAAGGGGAAGAAATGGGGGAAGAAATGAAAAGACGCGAATATTTATGTAATAATAATAAAAGGACAATGATGCTAATAAGTCTCTGATGCAAATGTTGCAATAACTAGCCCGACAAATATTGTCATTTTCCCTGGTCAGTGTAGAGTTAGTGAAATGCATTCATGAAAAATGGAATGCATTCATTAGTCTACCCCAAAAATTGCTTGTCATTTTTCTGATCTCATTTTGTAGCTGTGAAAAAGACGCATCTACCGCAGCAAACCGTATGTATGCGAGTGTTTCATTTTGTGCCCGAGGCAGTTTCTAACTTGTGAAGTGAAATATGAACATTTCATTCGAATGGGTGCGAAGATTTCCTTTAAATAAAATTTTGCATTCATAGATTATTATTCGCGATAAACCGGACAACAATACGTACTGCGGCAACGGATGGTACCTTCAATACGAGCAATTGGAAATGGGAAAAGTCAGAGATAAAGTAACAAGCCCTTTTTAGTTTATACTTCTTTTTAGACTAGTTATAGTTTTTTGCCTCTCATCAAAAAAAGAAAAGTACATTTTATGACATCTTAAAAAGTGCGTCTCCTCTTTTGATTTACAAGCTACAACGAGAGACACATCTTCCGATCAGTTGGCCGGATCTAGCGACTCTAGTATATAAAGCAACTCTAGATTTGTACAAGTCCCTGTGTTTTTTTCAATGTTTTCTTTACACTTCGTTTTCCTAAGTAATTAATACGAACAAAATGTGCCTGTATTGGCAGTGTTTTATGTGTATATAGTTTTGCAAATTTTGGTCAGTTAATAAAAGTTTTTTTTTTTTTTTTGGGGGGGGGGGGAAAGGTAGACCTCCCTTTTTGAGGTTTGAACTATAAAATTAGCTGTACCAAAGTTGTTCACGTTCGGCTGCAACTACAGGTTACATAATATTTAACATCATAAACAGAGTGATTTCAGTATCATCAAACATTGATAAAATTTGAGCTTTAAACGCAAGCATTGTCGGGAACTACTAGTAGTTTAGTTTCTCACTGAAACTTAACTGTAATCATGTTACGTTGGGATATCTTAAGCTAGGCTTCAAAATAGAAACATTATCAAGATGTAATAACAACCCAACCGAACTTTTTCCAACCAAGACCTTTTGAAGTTCTGTTTTAATCGAAATCTAAGCAACGCAAAATATAAGTCTACTATACTCAGAAATTATGTTTTTGTTGTTTAATCAAAAACGTAACATCAGAAATTCATGGTAAAGACATTTTACTACGCTGCTCAGGGGAAGGGAAAGCAGAATATTTCAAGAAAAATTTATTCGCGATCATACAACATAAATAATTACGTTTCCATTTTCTCATCCTTAGACAAGTGGTCGGTTTCAATATCCTTCTTTTCGTCAGAATGGCCTGGCACCTCCTCTTCAGAAACCTTCTCGATGACGACATCCTCAGGCACAGTGAGGGGGCGGGGGCCGTAGAGCAACATGTACGCGCAGTGCCAGTCACCTGTTCAAACGTCAAATACAATACCGCGTTTGACAACAAACAACAAAGTATTTTATAAGATATTGAAAAATTTGAGTACCTTATTATAATGGTAATCTTACGAGAATTTCAAATAACTCTAGCATTATATCACTTTGAACTGCAACCACTGGGCCCAGGGTGGAGATATTTTATGATGGTGATACTTGCTGATTGCATCTCAAAAAGCAAAAAATAATAAGATAAAATAGAATTTTTGCACAGTAACCTATAAATTTACTAGTAAATATTGACTTATGAGCCTCTTTCAGCCTTTAATGTCCGCGGACCTCTTTTTGCCGCCATCTGGCATCCTTGGTTGAGAGCAGCATGATTGGAGCAGTGAAATGTGGGTTTGAAACCACTGCAAGCTGTAAAAATTCTGCTATGTCTGCCATCGGAGACAGGCCAGATTTGGCATATTAAATGCTGACATCACTATCACTATTAACATTTATGGTAAATACGAGAACATTTATTGGAAGGAGTAGGTAATCTGCAATCAAGTTTAAATATAAACTTTTCGAACAATGTAGGAATGAAACTTGTGGCGTCTAACCCTGAATCTATTTAATCTGAATGATGCACACAGAGTATTATACTGACCGCCTCCTGAGAGACGTAAGATCTCCTCCTCAGTGACCGCGGTCACGTCATCATCGTCACACTTCAGCCAGTGGCCGTCCTTGAAGCGCACCCACGCCACGTAGTGGCCTGAAGACGACGTCCTGCCCTGGTGAGTCAGCACGGCTTGCAGCTGATAGAAGCCGCTGTTGCACGACCCAACATCTGTAACACCAATCATTCGATCAAGTAAATAAAGTATAAATATTTCATATTATCTTCTGTTACATAGGGAAGCAACCAGAAACAAATCCGCAATGGAGAAACTCGCGAAAATTGGCAATTAGTGAAGAAAATTGGTCTTTATGCATGATCCTAATTCTTTATAATTTGAAGTGAAAAACCCATGAATTCGTGGAGGAACATCACTCATTAAAAAGGTAAATAAATGCCAACGACTTAACACTGAGCAACTTAACGGGCCTGGACTCTGGAGAGTGGAGATATTTGAAAATTATAGCCTAATACTTATATTATTATCAGTATGAAATATGAATTATAATGAACACTTCCAATGAAATGATCTTGTTTATTCTGAATTATAATGAAGTTTATTCTGAATTATAATGAACAAGTTCATTTCTTTGCAAGTTCAAGTTTTGCTTTTGAAAATTTGATACACTTGTGGATACACCGCAGTGACGACACGACTGACCGTCTTCAAAGTAGTAAGGGATAGTTTTGAGCTTTGGCTGCTCGCTCTCAGGAACCGATTTTCCAGATTTGCGCATCCTGGCCTCCAGCTTCTCTCGCTCTTCCATGTCCTAATAATAGAGGGAATATCATGTTAAGAAAAAATCGAGATAAATTCAATTCATACCTGAAAATTATAATTGAATGATATATGATATCAAGATATTATTTCTTGTTGAAAGTTAAATTCTTATAATGGTGCAACAGTTAATTTGACTTGGCAGAATTCCATTGACAAAGGATCATAAGGAATCTGGTTTGTTAGAATTTGGATAAATTTAATTAAGTAACAATAAACTGACTAAATATTTTAATAATTGAAGAAAGAAAAATCCGTTGAGAAAATCCTAAAACATACAAGCACGCTTTTAACAAAATTATTTTTCCTATAAGCAAACAATGACATCAGCATCTTTCACCCGATGCAATGTTGAGGCTGACACCGCCTACCTTGTAGTGCACCGAGCAGCCTACCTTGTAGTGCACCGAGCAGCCTAGTGCACCGAGCAGCCTACCTTGTAGTGAACCGAGCAGCCTACCTTGTAGTGCACTGAGCAGCCTACGTTGTAGTGCACCGAGTAGTCTACCATGTAGTGCACCGAGCAGCCTACCTTGTAGTGGACCCTGTAGGGCGCCATGCGCCGCTGCAGCTTGGGACTGCACAGCTCGAACACGTCAAGCACCAACGAGAACTTCACGTCCTTCAATATCTTGGCGTTGACTGCCTCTTTTTCTTTGTAGTAAAACCTATAGAGACGCGATTCAATGTGAAGAGTAAATGAATTTCAAAAATACTATAAAATTAAGAACTAAACATCATTGAATCGAAGTGAACACAAAAAATTCGGGTTCGGGAGAAAAAAAACTATAACATAAAAAGGTACAAATTAAAAAATTATCCTCTCAATAGTCAGATTTATATATACACTTATGTTACCTACCTACAGAAGAGAGCGAAATGAGGGAAGCCAAGTCCATAGACTTTTGTCCTTTTTGCCATGTAACCAGTTGATATTTCAGCTCATTAAATAGACTCAGATCTTGAAAAGCTTAATTTTTAATATATTTATATCATATTAATAATAATTAATTACTATTATTCACTCAAAAAAAGTTCACATGTGGCTTTTTCTAACACATTGTTTTTTCAGCAGTCTTTTTTAATTTAGAATAATTTAGCTTCATAACAAAAACCAGTGCCGTTTTAAGCCTAGCAAGTTTTGAGTATATACACTAGTAGTACTCATGAAATTTGGGAAAAATTTCACAGTGCTAGGTGCAATTCTTCAAAAGATATGGGGAAAACTGAAATAGGATTTTTTAGAGTCGGAGATTATACAGCAACTAGGAATTCCCAAAGATAAAATCACGTACAATATCCTCCTAAATATCAACATTCAGATTCGTTAATACCGAAAGAAATAATTCAAATCACAAAAGAGTACCGAACTACACAATATACCACAGCACGACGCACCTGACCATGTCGACGGCGAGGTATGCAGGGAGGCGCGTGATGAGCGACTTTTTCGTGAAGCTCGCGTCCTTGCCCAGCGCGGGCGAGTGTTTGCTGATGGTCTCCTGCAAGCCATAGCCATAATAATGAAACGCGCTTTCAAACTTTCCTCATTGGTTAACACCATTCAACTGAATAAAAACTGTCAGTAATAAATATGTGTTATAACGGCATAAGACGGCAATTTACAGCATTTGAAAAGCAATTTTCCCACCTCATATAGATATAGCATAGATTGCATCGATTTTTATAAACTCACAGTGAGTCTGGATAGAAGACCGGTGTGAAGGTGGTTGACGTCCGTGCTGATGTGACAAGACAGCTGGTTGAAGGTGCTGACGGTGGTGGTGGGAGCTTCTCCACCTTCTTCAGTACACGTCCACACGCTCTCCATTTCCCCGTTCATGTATTGCTCCACAAGTGACGACCTGCTCAGTGCCAGATGGAGTTAATCACGACAAAACGGCGCAGCTTATGCGGACGTGTGGTGAGCTTGCAATGAATGCTGTTACATTCGAGACAAATCAAAGATGAAACATGTTTACAAATATTATATGCGTCTAGTAGAATTTATCATTAATAGATAAATAATTGTTGAAAACTTAGTGTATCAGTAACTGACTGATAAAAGTATTTTTACATCTACATAATAATATTATAACAGTACTGGAGTACTGGTAACTAATAAGGAGCAGAAATCAGGATGCATAAATGGAATACAATAAATTATAGGAAATTTTGCAAGTGGTTATATGTGTTCTTCAAGTGCAAGTTAATTGACAGTAATAATCTTCATGAATCTTGGCAATTGTTTTTATAAGGTAATGGTTTGCAATATTTGAAATGAAATATATATATTTCATATATATTATGAAACCAATAATATTAAAATATATTATGAACCAAAAATATGAAACCAATGACTTGAAATTATTAAGATAATACCAACTCCTACAAGAGAAAATGTGAATTTACTGGAAGTCTTTGAACAAATTTAACAATGGTTTATTATCAAAATTCTATACACTAAGCAGAGATGATATGACAAAAATATGAGAGTTATGTTGCATAGTAACCTGAAGCAAGGCTTGCTGAGCTCAGGCTGGATGGGCCCCAGACATTCCTGCATCATGCGCAGCAGCTCCGTCCAGCACTCGGATGCGTCCTGCTGCATGTAGCTGCCCTGGGCACCTTTCTCGGCAAATCTGTAAATGTAAACATTACTGATTTACATTTGGTTACACGGCACGACGACCCTTTCGGTTGTCAGATAAATGTCTTCGCATCTTGCTGATGTTCTGGAATCAACTAAATTCTTCCAGACATAAAACGACGGCAAAGATGAGAGGTAACTTTACAGGTGATTTTTAAAACAAATGTAACGAGATGGTAGCAATTTACAAGCGTAGAATTTTATACTTGGTGTCTCAGCATCGTCTCAGGTACCAGCAGCTGCTACAACAATCTTTTTAATGAGCTGAACTGCTGACAAATTGTCAAGATTGTATCCAAGAAAATATTAACAAATCCTGCCAGAAGATTTTAATTGAAATCTTTTGACATTTGGCAAAAATATTATTTCTCAGTAAATTATTGATTATTTTGCAGAAAATTGTCAACAAATTAATCTAGACTAGTTGTGTCGCAGTAAACGATGGCCTTGGTCTCAAATAATTGTACATCAAGTAAGAAGTAGATACAGATACGAATTAATTGTAAGGATCAAGCCATTTCTAGTTAACCCCACGGTAATATTCATATTTGCAGTCATAATCTAAATACATTAGCCGGTCATCAGCCACTCTTACTCTGGCCGCCAGCAGTAAATCTTCATTTGTCTTACCTGTGGGCTGTGATCAAAAAAGTTTTTTTCAGGACCGAAACGATCCCCTTCAGTATTCTCGCCTACGTCGTTGTCTATTTGTTTGAGTTCAATTAAAATTACTGTGTAACCCGTCCATTATTATCCACCGACTCGATGCCGTTCAGCCTCTCCGATACCTTGACATTTTTCATAAAGATGAGCACGATACACTAGATTCACAACAAGGTATAATATCATTTCTGGACAACATCTGTGAGGAAAATTGAGAAATTATACTATTGTAATGCTATAGAATCTCCTGTGAATTATAACCTCCTTATTAATTAAGATATCAGAAATTCTGAGCACTAACTGAATGGTTCATATTCATTAAAGTCCATCCTATACTTGAATTTTATTACATGAAATAGGGGAACCTAACACTGGATTCTATTAGCAGGTAAATTTGAAGGGATAGAAAAAAATCCAAGCTGGGTTAATAAGAGCAGTAACCTTGGGAAGCAAGTTCTGAAGAGCTGCACCATGATGACCGGCATGGGCGTTTCGCCCTTGTCCATCTCCTCAAAACACCGCCTGATGCTCACCATCAGCATGGCGTTCGTTGATGGCACTCTGCTAGTGGCATCATCTGTACCAAGCACGTTAGGTTATAAACAAGCCTCCTTCACTAACTATGGTTCATTGATAAATACTTACATGTATTCAACATTATTACTCTACCGCATGAGAACATGATCAACCTTTAAAAACATTATCTCAGGATTGTCAATATATTTCACACAGGAAACAATTCAGAACCAAAACTTTTGAATAGGAAAGGCTGCAAGGTATTAAATAGGCTCATGTTTTTGCCGCTTGTGATTTGCTGCGGTCCATTATGGAGGATGCTTATGTTAAGAAAAACAGTTATTGTGGTAGCACAAATATACATTTTTAGAGGTCTGGTTGTACATAGGAGCTAGAGGGGATTCAGATGAAAACATTTGTCAGCTGTTCATGCATGATCTGAAAAATATACGAGCAAGACAGCTCACTCAAAAGCTAGAATTATGGAAACACAAACATAAGAACAGTTTTCTACAGTTATCTCCACTGCAATTCGGGTTTATTGGAGTCCAGTTGGCTTACTTTGTGGGTCAAATTTGCAGATGGTCTTGTGTAGCTCGGGGACAGTCTTGAGGCACTGCACCACAGCGTTCAGGTAGCAAGTGTTGCCCAGATTCTTGATGCCAACAGGCATGTCCAGCTGAACAATTATCAAAAAGTTCAAATTAAACAATGTGTATATTATGTTGTGCCAAAATTGCGTAATAGCAGATTCTAGGGAATCAGCAGACAGTGTGATGATTCTGTAGAATCAGCATTTCTATACTGTAGGAATCTGGGGTTAGGTCAGTCAGCCAAGTGTTTTTTTTAATATTCAAATATAAAGGAACTTGACCTAACCTTTTCTAACTCTAACTGTCGATTTATGTTCTAACTCTAATGTCCGATTTTCTAAATCAGCAACAAAATGCAAATTTTACAGAATTGGCTAACTGGCTGCCGATTCCATAGGATTGGCAATTCCACAATTTCAGCACGACATATATATTCCTAGGAGCAATAAAAAATCAAATATTTAATTAAAGGAGCAATAAAAATTAAATATTTAAATCATTTAAATTTAGTCAGATTTAATAATGATTCTATGCTGTTTTACACACCAGATTCTCGATTGTTATTATGTTTCCTGCAGGATTAGTTAATGCCTGCACAAGATGGATATTTAATACTTTAATTCATTTCCATAAACTAGGGAAAAGTTTTGTAATTTGCTTTTTTGGAAAATTTTGTGTATATACAAAACTGTTGAATTTTACTTTTTTTATGACAGATTCTTTAAGCATGTTGTTAATAGAAATAGTGGCCGTTACTCACAGCAACATTGGTCTGGTCCTCTGACAAATCCTCCAAAAACACAGGCTTCTGCTGAGGCTCCTGTAGAGCATCTTCATCTCTGCTGCCCATCAGCACAACCAGAGCGCCCTGGTCAACGCAACAGATTCCAGAAACTTCAATTCATCTTTCAAGCATAAACAAATATGCAAAAAGCTTCAAAGACCTTGAGAATATTCCACAATCCATATTGTTGATCATCAAAGAAATACAACAAATAATTTTTACTAGTTATATTCAAAATAAATATAACATGCACTATAATGATATAAATTTAATATGAAACTGGGCAATGAGCATGTCGAAGTTGAATATTGCACAATTAAATTTTATTGTCCAATAGTTAATATAAATCATTCAAATTGCACAGTAATTAAATTTGTCAAGCTTTAAGAATTAGGTTAATTGAAATTGTAGACAAATCATTTTAGGCTCGTGCAAATTCAGACTATTAGCCTGCACCATCATTGGCAAATATACTGGAAAATGCTGAGGGAATGAAAGTAGCACAACAATAGAGACAGCAACAGCAATGTAAGAATACTTGCATCTTTGAGTTTGGCTCCCTCCCAAGTGTCAGACTTAAGAGTAGTGCCTTTGAGAAGTAGCTTCTGTCGGCTGATCTGCACTCCCGTCAGAGCATAAACTTGTGCCTGAAATACTTCAGGGGATTCACTTGTGTCCAGCTCAACATCAGGGTAGGTTTCCTTGCCCCACTTCACTTTCACTGTAAATACAAGATAATGTAGATTATACCATAAAAATAGATAGATAAATTCAGCCTAATTAATACATAAATGTTAGAGGTTTCAAGTTTTTACTGGGGGAAACTATTAGAGCAAATCAACAAATCATAATGGGTCATAGGTGATGAGTTATTGTTAATAAGAAGGAAATGATAGTAAGCTAACCTATATACTGTAATTCCAAGATGTTATAATAATTAAAAATTGAAATCAGCATTATTTACAATGTAATAAAAAATATGAGAATCAACAAAACAAAATAAAAGTAATAATGAAAAATATAGTTATATAATTCTCACCTTTATAACATGACATGATGAAGACAATTTATAGCTAAAAATGCAACATATAAATCTACTTAATGAAAGGCAAATCAATTAACAGTACAAAAGAGCGTTCAATATTGTTGAAGACTGATAAAAGTTTCCATTTTAGAAGCCAGCTGGAAGAAGATAGAGAATAAGGAGATTATAAAACTTTGAGTGCCAATTTTGGCCAGAATAGACAAAAGAAAACATCCAGCAGACAAGTCTCTTCCAGGGCGGAATTCAGGAGTGATGATAAATTAATAAGTACATGTAACTCAGAGGATTATACAGCAATACCTTGACTTATGAACGCCTCTACTAGCAAACTTTTCTAGATAATAACTGGAGATTCAAGATTTTTCTTGCCTCCACATATGAACATTTATCTGCTTGCAAACCAAATTTTAGATCTGATTTGGTGCTATATTCTAAAAATGCAAATATGTATGCAGTATGAAAGAGTAGGCATTTGGAGAGGAGCAAAATGGTTTCATGTGTGACAGAAGAGCAGAAGATTTGATGTGAATGAATTGATTGAAAGAATAAAGAGAGATGGAAAGTCTACTTGACATTCATAGATATAGAAAAAGCATATGATAGAGTGATAGAAAATTATTGTGCCAGTAGCTGGGAAAAATTTGTATGAGTGAAGAGTATGTGAGGAGTTATAAGTATGTGAGTAAATACTTGAGCAAAATATAAGCTTGTAGATGTGGAGAGACTGGGTGCAGTCCATGAGAGGTGTTTGACAAGGATGTATCCAGTCTCTGCTTCTCTTCATCCTTTACACTGAAGAGATGACTGCTTGACTGAGAAGAATGAATGTGGTAGTGCATGTTGGAGATGAAAGACTAAAAATATAACTTTATGCTGATGATGCAGTAATTGTGAGTGAAATGGGGTTGAAGTTCAGAGAATGCTTGACTATTTAAGCAAGAATGGAAAAGATTTTAATGAGTGCTTTAGCCTAGAGAAGGGTCAAGAGATAGTTGTGAATTTTCAGCTGAAGATATGGATAGAGTGTGGCAGCCGGAAGCATAGTGACAAACCACAGATTTTTTAGAATCACTTTGTTTTAAAATTCCTCATCTACCCAAGATTTAAAATAACTTCTAATATGTGATAATGCTGGTATCCATGATACATTACTGATAATGAGATTACTGTGTTCTACTCATAAAACTCGAAAATGAACAAGAATTTGTCTTTAAAAGTCTCTGCTTTGACACTATGGCTGAAAGGAAATGAGAGTGGCATGAAAAATGAGTACTTAGAATGAGTCTTGACCAAAAAGAATGTGAGAGAACTAAAGCATTGAGTCTTAGTAAAGTAAATCAATGGTTAGGAACAAAATATAACTTAATATAAAAGTACAGAAGAAATGGAAAGAAAGGACAGCCTGAGATTGGACAAGATGGGAGAGAGTATGAGTGCACATATGATGGCAGTAGATGTGGGGACCTAATGTTCTGACTTCTGTGCGAGAGGAAATGCTTTGCATGTAAATGCAAGGACATACAGGTGGAGTGAAAGGAGAGGACATTTGTTTTATTTGTGACAGAGGAGAGAGGGAAACTGTAGAGCACTTGATGATAGATTGTGACACATATGACAACTTGACAAGGAGACTTGAAATGATGAGAGTGATGAGCCTGTGAGGCTGTGAGGGTGGTGGTGTGATGCATGACTATGAGAGAATGGAAGACAAATGGATTGTGATGATAGTGGATCTGTCAGCAGGGGTGAGTGGTGACTGGTGACAGTTGGCTGCTGCTATGACTCACGAGTCATGACGCATGAAGCATGAGTCTGAGAGAATGAGGAAGAGGAAAAGGCAAGAATCATGATGAATGGAGGCTGTCAGGCTGGAACTTCTGGAAGGCCAGGAAGGGTAAAAAAAGAGATAAAAATGAATAACTGTAACAATAACAATGTAACAGGAATGATTTACTGTGATTAGGTAGCCCAGTGGTTAAGGGCAGGCCACTAGTCAGTCACCAGTGCCAGTGGGCTGCAGTTAAAGTTCAGAAATTCAGAGTAACAAGATTGGAGCAGGTGCAAGTTTGATAACAGCTCTGTAGTGTATACCACACCAGTTTTTGATCAGAATCGGCAAGGAGGCCGTGTCGGCGTGGTAAGTGGTTAAGCTAAGAAAATTTGAAAAAGTGAGTTGCGTATTCAAGCTGGCAACAAGATATGAATGTTCTGCGCTCAGTGCGCAGCGCTGTCATTTTGTTAAGAATTGGCAAGTGCAACAGGTCTACAGCCTAATCAATGCTGAAACCACTATACCTATTATATTCACAGTAATTCACTATGAACTTTAAAATTTAAATACCACAGTCACAGACCACAGTGTAATAAATGGGACAGGGCAATATAGACCAAATAAATTTCCTAAAAAATGTATCTAGCCAGCTAGCCCCATTCCCCATCTTATCTTATTCTTATCCCCAAGTATATAGTGACAAACCAGAGATTTTTTAGAATCAGTTTATTTTCAATTTTCTCATTTAATCAAAATTTAAACCACTTTGTTATGTATGATAATGCTGGTATCCAGGATACTTTGCTGGTCTACTTATAGGACTCAAAAATGAACTTGAGGGAGAGTCTAAAAAACTCTCTGCTTTGCCACTATGTCCCCAACACAAACATTCCCTCCCCTCTAGCATCTGCTTTAATATTGCTTCTACCAGGCATAGTGGGGAATTAGTGGCAAAGCAGAGAGGTTTTTTGACTTTCTCTTAAGTTCATTTTTGAGTCCTATATGTAGACCAGGTCACCAGTAAAGTATCCTGGATACCTACCTGCATTATCATACATAAGAAATTTGTTTAAATTGTGAGTAAATGAGGAAATTAAAAATAAACTGATTGAAAAATGAATCCATAGTTTTGGTTTGTCATTATGCAAGTTCCACCTGGCACCTGGCATAGTGGCCATGGTTTCCTTATAAGTTATACTGTTACTTAGTAATAGCTACTTACAGCCACAGGCTACAGCCTACAGGTAGGTAGGTAGGCAGTACACTCCACACTCCACAGCAACAGAGAGTCAGTGACAACCAGTCAACCAGAGTTTTATTCTAGGCTCTCCCTCAAGTTCAATTTTGAGTTCTATAAGTTGACAAGCAAAGTATACCTATCATTGAAAGGATTAGCCATTAGCATTAGGTACTCCGTAGTCCGTACCACTGTAACAGTTAGCCTACCTAGTAGAACACTACGGACTACCTATCGTCTAGTCGTCTACGGCACTACCGGCATTATCACATTTAAGAAATTGGTCTAAAACTTTAAATCTTGAGTAAATGAGGAAATTAAAAATGAACTGATCTAAAAAAAAGTGTGGTTTGTTACCTATGCCCGACAGTGACAGCGATAAAAAGAAAGTAAGAAACCATCTGCCAACCGAATTTCTCCTTCTGCATGAATCGCGATATTTCGAGTTTGCATGGTTCGATCTTGCAAAGACAAGATTGCAGCGACCCCACAATCAAGCAAGAAGTATGCGTTGTTGGGGATGAATTGGCTTCAGATTTAATTTTACCTACGTGAATGAAGCAACTTTTGAAAAACTTTGCTGTGCTTGAACGTGAGATCTTTCAAGTCCAAGTTCGAATTTTAAAGTTATCACCCTGGCCACTATCACTATAAACTAGAATAGAATTTACACGGCATTTCAAACTCTAAGTTCGGACGCACGACAGCGATAAACAGAAGCTTCATCGCTTCTGCGTCTAGGTACTCGTAAGAGCGTCTGATCAGTCCAAGTCGTTATTTGCTTTGTTAATCTTGAGCTTCAATATGCTTACTGATGCCGTTTAGTAAGTTTTCGACCTGATTGAAGACTCAATCGACAATTTTACGGACCCGCCTGCGGACTCGCGCAACAGGGCCGCTCATAATTCCTTCAATACTTAACGGATCTGCATGAATTTTGGAATATGAGTATTGATTATCGATACGCTGCCGCAGGAATTATTACAGATTTTTACACGACTTATTATTGGGTTAGGTTAGGTTAGGTTAAGTTAGGTTAAGTAGGACATTCACCTTTAAAGAGTTCACGAGTGGAAAAAGCATTAGTGATCACAATGTGTATCAACTAAATAAACTGAAGGTAGAAGGCCGACCGGCATGTCACTCCAATCCGTGCACTGCGACCCACCTCTACCGCAGTAGGCTTTCATAGAGTCCACTGACGAGTCAGCAGGCGACGTAGTCGGCCTCCTGCGCGCCGTCGGGTGCTAGCGTCTCCACGGAGTGCCATCTCGCTGACGGGGTTGACCGAGAGAGTGCTAGCCGCTCTTCAAAATCACTCGAAGACTTAAGTACAAATACGGAGCGATCCGTACACGCAGGGCAGTGAAGTCAAGAGAGGAGGTCGTCATCCGGTGGTGGTTGGTGCTGAACTGTCTTGGAATGGCTGCCCGGGCTGAAAATCTCGAGGCTGCGGATTAACCTCGATACGGCGAAATTAAGTGGGTGCAATAAACACGTAAAGGAGATAATGCCGTCGGAAAATGAATTTAAATTTAGACATGGGGAACATTGTGATCACTCCTTGCTTAAAATAAAATGAAATGAATGATGGCAGTTTTCAACATCCACTGAGACGCGGCAATAAAACAGAAATCTAGAAATAAATAATCCGTCGTAGTCGTATATCAGTATGGTTTTCCATTATGTAAAACATTATGTAAAAATTGTCGATACAATCCATTTGGACAAGCCAAATCATTCACATGCTACTCCTTAGCAGGCTGAAAGTCTAGCTATAAAGGACCAAGCGAGGAAGAGAATAAAAGACTTTTCATATTCCGTGGCAGCTGCGTGTGCGATTAATTGAAGCCTTTCGAACTTGACTCTGGTGAGGAGGGACTCTGCCGAGGATCGGCGTGCAGCAGGTAAGCGTTATCGGTCGAGTTGTGTTCGTTACGCGTTACCTCTATTAATGAATAGGCTTGAGAACATCTATTGCTCTTACCTATCTAACCTGTTTCTATTTGAAAAGCAAAGCGCTAATGGAAGCAAGGTTGATTGAGGAATTGGCTGGTCAAACGACGGAATCACAGAGCAATGAAACTAGGACAGAATAGTACTATAGTACAGCGGTGTCAGCGTTGATT